AAAGGGTTTGCAGAAACCGATCTTGTTGTAAAAGTCTTTGCTGCAATCTGGTGCACTCTGATCTTTGTCCTCCTTTTCAGAATCCAGCTTGAATGTCAAGCATTTTGTGTTCCATAAAGGGTGGAATTATTTGTTGAGATCGGCGGGAGAGGCCCTTCTCCGGGAGCCCACCGTGAAAGAAATTAGGAGGGTGGTTACTCGGAGGAGGGCTTTCTCAGTGGTGGCACCTAAGTTATGGAATGCGCTCCCCAGAGAGGTCCGCCTGGCGCCGTCGTTATTTGTTTTTCGGTGCCAGGCGAAGACCTTTTTATTTAAGCAGCATTTTAAATGTTAATATTATTGAATTTTATCTGGCCAGGGTGGCTTATTTTATATTGTATAGTTGTATTTTATTTTAATGTATATATTTTAATTTTTACTTATGATGACCTAACTTATTGTTGTAAGCCGCCCCGAGGCTTTGGCGAATGGGGCGGCATAAAAATGTTTTAATAAATAAATAAATAAACACCTGGAACAACACTTTCATTGCATTAGTGTAATGTTACTATAATTGCCGCACTCTTTAGCACCTTCTTTCCTGGGGATTGGATGTTTACTAAACAAATATGGGACATTGCATGTCTTCCATATTTGCTGGCATAGTGTTAGGATTTGGTCAAATTCCATTTCTGCAGCTTGAAATACTTCTATTGGTATCCTGTGTATTCTGAGTGCTTTATGCCTTTCATGTGCTTTCACAGTAGCACTTTGTTTTCTAAGATTGCAAGCTCTTCTTCTTAGGATTCTTCTACAAAGGTGTCTGTCATCCTTTCATCTCTTCTGCATAGTTCTTCCATGTATTCTCTCCACTTTCTCTTTATTTCCTTGCCTGATAGTATGATGTTCCTTTGTTGGTTTGAATTTTCCCTCCTTCCCCCCCCCTCCTCTTCCTCTTCCTCCTCGTCCTCGCCACCTTCTGTAAGAATTACCTTGTTTTTATTCTTCTGTTATACTCTTCTCTTTTTCTGAACATAATTGCAAGCTGGGAATCTGTGAGCACTTTTTATGCAATCCACTCCCATTCATATTCATATTGAAAGGGGCAAATTCTAATGATGATAATACAATGAAACAAAAGTTTCGTATATTCTCACATTTCTCCTTTGCATTAAAGAGAAGCTACAGGCATTACCTAAAATATGTGTATAATAGCCATGTCCGTTTTCACTTTTACTGCAAAGTAGGAGCAAGGTCCAGCCTTCCCAAACCCTACACAGTAGGATTCTTATCTGAACTGGGAGCTCTGTACCTAATCTAGAGTAACAATAATAAATACACATTTAAAGTAATGCCCTTTTTGTTCAATTCATTCCTTACAAGACTAGGGCTCACTCCTGGTTTAGTTCTGCTACTGCTACATTTACTTTACTTCAGCACATAAAATAGAGCAACCTTTGATGTTCTTTGATGTTCCAGGGTTCAGATCTGTGATCCAGTACTATTAGATTGACTGGGTGAGTAATTTAAACCCTATATGGGGAACTATGCATATGTGATAATAATCCCAACCAATTGTGGAATCACACCATCACACTTCAATATTCATGTTTTAGAAGCAATTTACAAATTGCTGCTACGACCAAAAGCGGCCTCTTCATGGCAAACACTTCCCAGTCTTCTGGTAACATTTGAAAATACTTAACATGTGGATCACTGCTGTGTTATGATTCCCCATTCTATGTTCCTCCATGATGCTGGTGTCCAATGATAGGGATAAATATATTCTCACATCAAACAGTTTACATGGTAACATGTAAACGTGATAATACAACATGATAATCACAATCCACATGCTTAGTAGTTTCAAATGGTATGGCCCGTTCTTTGCACAGTGGCTGTTTATGGACACCTCCCTCACCTCCCTCATGTATTATTTGCATTGAACATACATTGGCATGACCATCTGCAGGAAAGGCACCCGTGTGCATGCAGCTGAGTAGGCTTCCACTAAGTCAGGACAGTGGTGGATCAAGTATCCAACTTGCACCAACTGCAGGCTTCCTTATGGATGACCGTGCTCATATGTGGGGCTGTTGCTGGCTGGGGCTCAGGCAGCTCGCTCCACAGGCAGGTCCTTTTCTGAGGAATCACATGAAAGAAGACTGCCGTGGCAGTGCATTGTGTGCTCTCATCAAATATCCAGCAGTGTGCTTAATTTCTCTTCTTTTCAGTTAAGTAGTGGATACAATAGTAGCATATTAACATTAGCATAGTTTCACCTAAGCTGTTACATTTCTTCTGCTCACACAGGTCACAATTATTTTGGCAAGCATTCATGCAGGCAACTTTTCCTTATTTCTCAACAGCTTGTTCTAAACTCATTATTCTCTCTTTCACACACACACACACCTCCTTGTTTGACTTCAGTGCTTTGGTCTAATCTTCAACATAGTCTGTGGTTCTAAAGACTGTAAGGAGAAACAAGTTGGGGAAATTATCTTTGGCTTGCAGCTTGTTTTACAAAGGTTTAAAGCAAGCCTTTTTTTCACAAAGCTCAATCTAGCCAACTTCTAACTCAGTTCTTTTCATGTAAGTTCACCAAGAGAATACAAATAAAAATGGTTGATAGGATCAATTATAGGCCAGTGGCATACACTTCAGAATGTTAATAGTACCTAGGTATTAATGAGTAAATTTCTCAGGAAAAAGAAGTGCTGTTGAAACACTTGGAAAAGAACACGTCTCAGTTATAAATGCCTGTGTGAGTTCAGTTATGATATCCAGGAATGTAATCTCAACGATATACTTAAAACAAACTATTTCAAAGTAACCAATCCAAAGTAACTATAGGCATATGACAACCTTTTCTTAGGGTGCAATCCAATAGAGATTCCTACAGGATCCTGAACTTGGAAGATTGTGGGCATTCTGTACAGAGTGGCAAGCTCCCTCACTCCCCCATGTCTCCACTTTGCTCCCATCATCCCCTTTCCAAGGTTGATTTTCTTACCTTAAAGAGCATCTTTGTGCACCATCTGCAAGGGGTGGGGGAAGGGAACCCCACTGCTTGTTGCTCGTAAGGAAAGAGCCAACCTCAAAGCTTGGAATTGGAATGATCACTTGTCCTCTCATATGATGTCAAAGAGTCATGGGGTTGTTTCCTCCATAACTCAGGTGCAGCCATCAAGATTTATTACATTATAATCTGATTTTGCAAATGTGTACACAGCTTTACAAGAGCAAAAAGCCCCATATAAAATACAAGCCCAAGTACAGTGTGACTAGTTCTGCACCCACAAGCAAAGTGTGGATTTGTGTTGCTCAAACATTGTATCTTCATTATAAGGCTCTTTTGAATTGCAGGAATTGCAGAAGCAGTTTTATTTATGGCATAGGAATCAGCTTATCAATGTTCCTCACTGTTTAGGAAGGTAGTTTAACCCTCCAGAGTATATTGTTTGAGCAGAAAGGGGAAAGAAAAGTCAGCAAAAAATCTCCTCCCCCTGTGCTGCACTACTTTTTGTGAGAATATACTGGGAACGCCACTCACAGTATCTGTGGATCCAAGACTATACATTTGCTTATTTTTCAGCAAATTGGCTGGCATTCATTTTAATTCCAGGGCATAATACATTCCAGTCCCGTCTTTGCTGATGGTCACTTTCTCTGCAGTAGGATTGCATGCATGTGTACCTGCTAGTACTCATGGGCTTTTAGATCAGAATAAAACTTCTGAGCCACTTGGAATCCATACTTACTTATGGATACTCAGATCTGTGCTCAGAATATATCACACAAATATGATGCATATTTTATTCACATTTTATTACTAAATAAACAAGGACTAGAAGGTACTAGAAGTTGCCCACTCATATTTTCCACCGTATCAGTGTACCTGGTCTCCAATATTTCTTTCTCGATCTCCATCAATTTATACTTAGTACTACTTGGGAAACCTCTTCGTATGCCCTAGCCATTTTTATTTATTTATAACAGGACATCAAACATTTCCGAAGGATCAAGTCTGAAAATACGTTCAGAGGAATTAAAAAAGCCTACTCTCCGATCAGTAATAGAGGGCATCAATCCTTCACTTGTTTGCCTGTATGAAATGGAGGGTTCTTGTCTCTGATGTCACAATTTTGTTTAAAATAGTCTTGATGATGGCAGGGTACACCAGAATGATAAAATCATAAAGATGACAGCCTAATCTTCAAAGATGACCGATCGCAGATAAAAGATTAAGTAACTCAGCATTTGAGATACCAGATTATCTGTCTTCTGGCATCGTGTCTGTATATGCCTCCTGCTGAGTTTTGCAGAGATACTGCTGACATGTAAAGATGCTACTTCTTACACTCCAAAATTGCTGCAGAGAATTCTGTTTCCTCAAGCAATCAGGTTGAAAGAAACAGCTCATCCATGGAACTTTTAGTTAATCAAATATATGCCTTTCAAACAGGCAAAGTACTTAGGCATGTAATAGATAAATATATGTTAGTGTGGTTATTAAAAACACCTAAGAGTGCAGTCTTATGGCCACCAGAAAGAGTCTACGCAGTCATAGGAATTCAGAGCCTGGGCAATGACCTCAGAAATGTGCTTTGGGGTTGGTAAAGCGATTTTGAATTTATAGCACTCTCCTTCTGGTCCTGTAGCTGGCACAGAAAGAACAGTCCTCAGAACTGGCATTAAGGTTCATTCCAGGGGCTGGAGCCAGGAGAACTGAGGCTCAGCCTATCCTGGCAGTATTTCAGTCTATCCTTATCAGAACAGGAACAAAATATGTGGCTGACTCTTTTAAAGGGTGGGAGAAGCACAGAGGCAAAGCTTCCCTCTGTGCTTCTCCCATCCTCAATAAGATCCCCATAAACCCCCAAGTTTGGATTACTCTGTGGAACAGTAAAATTTGCAACATAATTAGCACTCACAGGTGTGCTGGCAACAGGTTAATAATTCTTACATAATTTTTATTACCAATTTTATGTACCCCAAGAAATAAGAAAAAGCATACTTACAAGAATTATTAGACATGCTGGCCCTATAAAACTCCATATAAAGTTATTTTTTGTGCTGAGCCAACATCTGAAAAATAAATGGCATATTATGATGACAATTATATTACATTTGTACCTAACCATTTTTCTTTTGCAAGGAATTCAAGGAAATGAACAAGATTCTCCTCTTATCCATTTTATCCTTATAGGAACAGCCCTATGAGATAGCTTAGGTTGTGACTGGCCCAATGAGCTTTATAGATGAGTGGACCTAAAAACCCAGATTTGCTTAATTCCAGTCCAACACTTTAATCACTACTCCACAGTGGCTAATGGCCTTGAAGTAGGGTTACTGATTAAACCCCTGGCCCCGAGAATGAAGTGAGTCTATTACCCTATTTGCTATAAATTTCATGTTCTGCAGTATTCTACAGTCTGGGACATTTGTTTTTGAGTAAGGCTTCAAGCTTCGTTTTCTGCAATCTTGGACAATGTGATAAAGAAATTCAGTTGTGGGTATGTGTGTCTGTAATCATGGACACACGGACAAACTGGCGCCCCCAGATATTTTGGTCCATAGTCCTCATAAGCCTCCTCCAATGCTAAGTAATTATGGGACTTGGAGTCTAAAACATCTAGAGAACATTGGATTGCTTCCCCTGGTGTAGTTCTACCTTCAAGCTGTATCTAATAAGGAGACATTGAAGGGAATATAATGAAGACAAAACAAGATCTCAGTATATCAGAATGCAGGTAATTCTTTTTCTTATAAAACTAATATGGGTTGAATGTCAATTTGGCATTAATAAACTACTTAGGAAGGGGATAGTTTGCCACATTTCAGAAAGTTCTAATGGTGCATTATAGGTGTTTTCCATCTTGCTTATGTTCAGACCCAGTAATAAGAGAGTTGTTAAGGCTGAACAAGAGCAAAAAGTACTACAGTTATCAAAAAAGGAAAGAGTAAAACAATACTGGATTGTATGTGCACTATTTGTATGGTTGTTTATTTATTGTATCAAAGCCGTCCTGAGGCTCATGCGAATGGGATGGCATACAAAAATTCTAAATAAATAATACATTAATGTCTTTGTAGTACAGGAGCTAAAAGTCACCTTTTGTTGTCAATATTACAATGTTAGAAAGACATTTTGCAGTAGATTGATTAAAACCAGGACAGAGGGAAAGAGAGAGAGAGAGAGAAGTGAAGGTGAGGGAGAACTGATGTCCATACATGCAGAAATGGAATAGAGCAGACAAATCAGGCAGGTTGACAAAAAGGAAAGGGAGTATAAAGGGAAAACAGGGGCAAGCCATGCCTGTTCATGAGAAAAGTCATGAAATGAAGAAAAGAATCTTTGTAGATGCTGCAGCTAAATTCACATGTTTGGGTTCCCTCAACAATAAACAAATTAATATAAAATATCTGCATTAGGATGGAAACTTTCTAAGAAAGGTTATGAGGGATAATTTACACTGCTATCACAGTTTCTTCCTTCTGAAGGTATTGGGGTTGTCTCCTTATTAGATTCAGTTTCCATGTGCCCTAGTGGATGGGGATCTTGCATGCATAAAGGGTTCTGTTGTGGCTAATTTTCTTCATCTAGTATGTCAGAACTATCCATAACTAAAGCCAACATGTAAACAGTGACCTACACATCTGTTGTTCCATAGTATTTGTATCCCAGTGCAGCAGAAATGACAACTACCACTGCTGGGCTCACATAGCCAAAGATATAGAAATTCTTGTGTAGGAATCCCTTATTGTAGATTACACCAACGACAATGACGTACAGATGAATGCCTTCAATACACATCCATGCAAAGGCAGCTAAGAGGAAGTAATGGAGTAATCCAGCAGTGATTGAACAGAATAGCTAGAAGGGCAAACAGAGAAAAGTCTAAGTGAATAACATAAAAGGCTTCATATATTCCAATGCAGGTGAAAACCCCTGTTCCACTGAAAATTTGTCTCAATAGAAAAACACCCAGGCCCTGTTATTACTTTTCTGTAAGTACATGGAAAACATATAGCCCATTTCATTTGAAAACCCAATTCACATACACTTTCCTTTTGCCCATACACATATAATCATGAAATATACAAACTGACATGACAAATGTATAAATTGCATTTGACTAATCTGTTCGTTACTACCAAATGGATGCAACCCTATATGCATGCACCCACATGCAGGATTATAAATTAGCAGCCTTTTTTTTTTACACTAGAAGAACAGCTACCAGCTACCAGTGAAATAAATGAACCTATCTTCTCTTGAAACTCTGAAACATTCTAAACAATTAAGAATCTGCTTTCATTTTGCTTTATTAATGTCCCATTCTCAAAATAGACCATTGGCAGAATGACTGTCCTTCTCTTTAATGAAACTGACGGCTTACATTTTTCTGCACAGGATTGCCTGGGATTCTTAGAGAGGATTTTATATACACAGCTAGCCATGTCTATAAACTGAAATGTCAACATTCATATTAAGACTGGGTAATGGTATGTGCACCTTTGAAAGTGGCACTTCAGAGCACATGGTTGCATTCACATTCAAAATGAAGAAATGATAAGGAAAGGCTACACACCTTATTACTGTTCATGTTAATTCCAACAAGAAAAATAAGCTCTGCCAGGAAAAGACTGCAACAGAGATTTTTATGAATTGTTGTTCTTGTGCTTTGAATTTCACTGAAGAACCAGAAAGTGAAAATACATATGGAGAGGCAAATCAATGAGATAATTATTCCAAGCTCAGTGATTCTTGTAAGAATAGAATCCTTGACTTTCTGGGAATAGAAAATATAAGTTATTGGAGAGAGTGGCTCAGCAATTGCACCAAATATATATATTTTGGTTCTTCCTTTCCCAGCACATATTTATTTTTTCCTCTATTTTTGTATAGAATGTGCATGCAATGTATTGGTACAGGTGTATAAATAATGTCAAGTAAGACATCATTTTGTTTTCCCACCACCACCTATCTAATGCTCTGAAAATCAGAACTTGATCCTTATTCCACATGACTACTCTTGCATGTAAGTTTAAGTTCTCATTGCATGGGATATGTATGATCTGAGCCGAATAGCTTTCTTAGAGTCTGGGAGGCAGGAAAGGGGTTTATTGAGCTCCTTTCTTATTGCTTAAATGTCAGGAACTGGGCAGCTTCTGGACTCCTCCTGCTGGCCAAGTATCAGAATAACAGCCCTGGTAGTTGTAGGATTTGTCCCACACTCTGCAGCTGACAAGGCTCTCATGAGCATCACCTGCAAGTCCTGGGGAAGAGCTATTTAAGAGCTGCCTCAGCAACAGTGGTCTCCAGTGTACTGAAGTTCTTGTTGTGTTTGGTCCCTGGGCCTGGCTCCTACAGCTTCCCCCTATTTTTCTGCTGCAAAGTACCCATTTCTTCATGTTGTCTTCCTGGCTCTTGTCTTCTGAGTGTTTGGTTACTCCCTGGTTTCCTGGGCTGTGCTACAATGAAGTCTTGTTTTGACTTTGCTTTGTTTGATTCTGCAGTTTGGACTTGTAACTTAGGCTAGTAATTGGATTTTTGCTTTGACCACCTTGACTTGTTTCCTGGTACATTATCTGTTACTCATTTGTTCACACCCTGGCCCCTTACTCTCAATCAGAAATGAACGACCTTGTGCTTGCTGAATGTTTTGGATGACCGTTCCCATAATCCTTGACCACTGGTTGTGCTAACTATGGTTTATAGGGAATGCCATCCAAACAACTGTGGTGCGGGGGAGGGGATTGAATTTCCTAAATGGTGATCAATGCCATCAAGTGAAAGCACAAGCATTTCTTGAACTGAAGGTGCAGAATGAGACCATCGGTGCATACATTTATGAGGACACATCATTTGTATACATTATTTTTAAGCATAAATCCAGATCAGTTTGTAAAATGTCATCGCATATATATATAAATGAAACTTCCCATGTTGTAGGAAGCCCAGTTTCTGTATCAGGATGCTCGCCCAGAACAGAGGCATAACTTCCCCTACAGAAGAAAAGCTTAGATTGTACAACCTCTTTCCTTTGTGAATGCCCAGAATATGGTCATGAAAACAATGGACAAAACCATTAAAAATGTTTAGAAAAACAGTTTCTTCCTGAAAACACTATGTTTTTGTCAAACTGCAAAGGACTAATGCAAATATTTGATGATAAATGATGAGCAGGGAATGATTCCCTGTGCATGACTGCTCCCCTGGGCTACCTATGCTAGTTCTAGGCTAATATCCATTCTTTTGGGACATTTTCTGTTGTGAGACCAAGCATTGTCATTAAGCAGAAGTAAAGTGAAAACCAAACAGGATTTTAGAAGCAGTGCCTAGTGAGGTTTATCATTTTACTTACTCTAGGATAAACACGTGAAGTTCCAATTCTAGTTGCGACCATCATACTCCACAAGAATAGAACTGAACCATCGCACTCCACTATTTTTTCTTGAAAACTTATCCTCCCTTCATGTGGAGAGTGCTTAATTAAAAAAAAAGTTTCTGTCGGCATCAAAGGAAGCTTTTTTGGATGCCTTGTTTTTTGTTTCACCTCTATGTAGCCATGGGAGGGTGGAATAGGAGTAAATAAGGAGCCACATGATAGGCTAAAATGGGTGGGATTCAGAAAAGAGGTGAAATTTCTGAATTTAATTGAGCAGCATACTCTCTCCCCCTCCTCCAGCCCAGTGGTGACTATAGCCAAGGTCAAGTGCAGTGGTGGAAACGTTGTGTTAGAAAGTCACACTCTAAGTTCACTGGATCTTGCCCATTACGTGGCTCATGATCATGGCCAGACTCAGAGGAAGAAGGCCTTGTTGCCCCAGGCAGAATCATAACCTAACCCGGACAGAATTCGGTCTGAACAGAGGTTGTTGGAGTGAATGTAGGCCAACCACATGCAGACAAATGCTTATGTATTATGCCCTTCAAGATGCCTTTGTTCTTTCTCACACACTTCTGGCCACATTTATTTCCTGTGCTAGACAGGTAGGAACATCCAAAGATGTATTGAGTCTAGCATGGATAGGAATATACTGCTCTTGGCCATACTGACTTTGTGGGTCGCAAGTTTTCTGGCATCTTCAGAGTTTGATCATTGTGCAATAATTTCAGTGTGTTTCTGAAGCAGTCTGCAGTAAGGAACAGGGCTTACTCGAGATAATTCACTGCCTCAGGCTAATAGCTACCCCCATTTGATGGAAAAAGCCAAATGGACTCACAGTGAAATCCATCGTCAACCCAGTAAATTGGAGTGCTGTCTCTTTTAACACCTTGCTGGAGCCTCATAACCTTTGTTGCCTGAGGTGACTACCTTCCTTTGCTTTATAATAGGGGATATATCTATCAGACTTGGATGGTATTAGCTAATTAGAACATAATTGTGTAAGTGGGGGTGTTTACAAAAGTTTTTCTTGGCTTTGTCTTAAAATTCCCACAGTTGTAACTAATATGGCCTAAGAAACTCCCTTGATCTAAATTATGTGAAGATAAATTTCCAATGGAGTTTGCTAGGGAGAGGAGTATGTGGTGAGTTTCAAATGGTTGTTTTTAAAATGATGAAATATACTTTGGAGACCAAGGCCAAGATGATCCAAACTTCTGTTTTCCCGATCACAATATATGGGTGTGAAATCTGAACAGTGAAGAAAGCTGACAGAAAGAAAATTGACACATTTGAAACATGGTGCTGCAAGAGAGCTCTATGAATACCTGGAGTGACAGAAAGACAGGCAAGTAGGTTTAAAATGAAATCAAACGAGAGGTTTCCCTAGGAACAAAAATGACAAAACGGAGGCTATCCTACTTTGAGCACATCTTGAGTAGGTAAAACTCTATGGAGAAGAGATTCATGTTAGGAAAACTTGAAGGCACAAATTAAATAATTAAACTATCACATGAAATGAGTAAACATCATATTGAAAAGCACTTACAACATGAGAGTCACTTGAGGACATCAAAACAGCAAAATGAGTAAGATGGTAACATCTGCATGAAGTGTGAGTGCTATTGGAATGTGTCCGCTCACATCCTTCTGTAGACCAGTTTCCTTCCATCGTGTCTTCTGAGTAGTTCCAAAATGCACACTTAGTATGTTTTCCTTCCAAAATCTTGAAAGAAGCAAAATGTTTCATTGATGTCAAATGGCACAAAATCACTCAAAAGGGTTTTTTTTTTAACATCATCTGAGGTAATTTATTTCAGGTTCATAATACACAAACTCAAAATGTTAATAGCTTTCAATTCAGATAAGAGGAACAGCACCTTGATTAAAACAAAGTAAAGCAAACAGAATGATGAAACAAGAGAGGCAAAAGAAGGCACACTTGATTTCCTTTACTTTTCTAATAGTATTTGTTTGTGTATTTCTCAGTAAGCCACAGTGGTATAGGGTTTAGAGTGTTGCACTGGGACTTGAATGATCTGAGATCTTGTCCTCACTCAGCCATGACAGTCACTGAATGACTTTGAGCTGTTTGACAACAAACCTTACCTACCTCATAGGTTTGTTGTAAGGAAAAACAGAAATGAGGAAGGATAGGTTAAGTGCCTCGAGTGCCTTGCAGACAAAGGCAGGATATAAATATAACTAATGACATAATAGATACTTTTCAAATCTATTTTCTGTCTTTTACACACAGATAGTCAATGATATATTTTGAAAGTCTTTGCAATTAATTTGTTTCTTTGCTTATTTCCTTTTGGAGTGGCCTTGTTTCTATCAGTCTTTGCTAATTCCTCTTTCTCTGTAATTGCCTACCACAGTCTGATATTGGACTTAAATTGTTATCGGTCTCCTGCAATGGTCAGGGATTCTGGCAGCAGTGGTCCAAAACACCAGGGCGGCACCAGGTTTCATAAATTTTTCTGGAGAGTATACTTGCATTCAGCTGTCAGCTTTTCTGCAGAGAGTTTCTCTAGTCTTGCCTTGCCTTTCCTGTTCTATTTCCCCATTTCCTCCTGAAAGCACTCTTCCATATTTAGTCCAGAGTTCACACCAAATATACAACTTATTTATTATATTTCTATATGGAACTTTAGGTCAAGGTACCAACTAAACCACACCCTTGGCTGGTGGCCTAGGGTGAGGGAGAGCTGCCTAGCCAAGAACAGTTAATGGTATTCAAGTATCAGTCTCCTGCATCCATGTCTGCCATTTGTATTACATTCAGCTACGGTCTGTGATATATACATGATACTATATGGCACAGGAAGAGAGATGCGGCACCGTTTCCAGTCTTCTCCAAAATTACTGTTGCTACTACTATTTTGGCCTATTCAGGTAGCATAATAAACAAAATGGATGCACACTCTGTAAATTATGAACAGTATGATGTAAGACTTAGGTTTCATTAACAAATTATTGACGGATGCATAGTACAACCGTGCAGTTATTATTCTTGTCAATTCCTATCAACACTTTGCAGCAGTAGCACACTGTTTTTTGTGCTTGCTGTGCTGAACTTAGGGTTGTAATTTTATTTCTAATTCTATTATACCCATATCAGTAACCACATGATACGAGTGAACCACCAAATGAACATTCAGTTGCTACACCTTACAAGATAATTACAGACTTATTTTTAATCAAGGGATGATTAAAAGAAAGCTTACCTGTGTATGTTTTAAAGTAAATGTTATTTTCTCAGCTGAGGAGAACTTGTGTGGAATGGAACTGATTGTGGCAGCTATAACTGATGAACTTACTGTCTCTGCTTGCTCTACGTTTTCTTTCAGTGAGAAGTTATGTGATGATGAAAGCAGAGAACCAATATTGTTGTAGCGCAGAAACACAACTGCAACAGTGCCTACAAAAAAACCATGCTTAGTGGGTTGTGGGTGGTTATGCCGAAAACAAAACACAAAAAATGAAGGGAAAAAAGCCCTTCAGGAAAGCAATCAACACTATTACTGCTCTTGCATAAAATATACAAAATATTTGCCGAACACCAATTTAAAAATAGTTTAGAGACAGTGAGGCATATTGAAAGTGCACATTCGTCATGGAAAATTAAGCAGATGACGGTATATCTTTCAGGGGATCTGAGTTGTAAGAATATAACTTAGGCAAGAAGGGACAAGCTTCAGATCCCATATATTTTTTCACCTATACCTATCAGCAATTTACCATTTTTATACACTGAGTAATGCTCTAAATGAGAGTGTATTTACTCATGCACAATGTCTTTGCTTCAAGCCCATAATGACAAATGAATAACTATAGTTACTTTTAAAAACATACATAATAACAAAAATGCTCTAATAATACGGAGCATTTATTCAATTTATTTTATTATATTTGTGATTTAACTTTGCGTATTTCCAAGAGTAGACATTTGAGTGTTCCCAGGGATTTAGACTCTGAACTGAAATCTTTGCGTCTCTTTTGGAACTAAAGTCTGAAATGCATTTATTTAGGGTGTTCTGCAGAGATAGGAAGGGGCACTAATCAAACATTGACTAAGAAGTGTAGGAAAAAACAATAAATAATATGCTTGTTTCAGAGTAAGCACAAAATAGAGATGTGTTAGTAACACTAAACTATGGCTCAGCAACTCAAATGTGAGACTTGGGCTGCCAAGCTCCCACTGTCCTTTCCTCCTCTGGCTTGGCTACAAGGAGATCAGAGGTTTTTGCTTCTGTTGTCAACCAGCCATTGATGATCATTATGTTCCAATCCGAAACTCTGGCTAATATTACACTTTTGGGGGAACAAGCCAATGTCATAAAAGGGCTTTGAAGTGGCCTTGTTTGAAAAAGGCTTAATACAGTTTGTGCAGGTTTAGACGTAATTATAAACCATGGTGAGAGAAAAATGGAAGTGAACATTTCTGATTCCTCCTCACAATGATATTGGAAGAGGAGACCTCCACCCCCAGTGCACACACACAATAACAAACCAGGGATGATAATCCATGGCCTTCCAAGTATTTTGGCTTACAACTTCAGTTGCCCTAAGTCAGAATTGCCAACAGCTTAGTGAGTAGGCTAGACTCTAAAGCTTGGGAACCATAGTTAATCCACAATGACTAATGTGTCTTTGAAGATGTATTTATCGTATTTTATGTTTTGAGGTGTACATCTCAGAACACAAGCACACCCACACACCAACATTAGTTAGATAGTCTTAAAACATAAAGAATAAACCAGTGCCAGTTATGCAATCATCAGTCAGATTCATACTCACTTCATAAGGCAATCATTGCTACTATTCTGTGATTGCTAACACACTGCTCCCAGGGAATTGCACCTTCTGCCCATTTAATTCTGGTGGACCTCAAGAGCACATACCTTGTTGGTGAAACATGCAAAAGCTTATATTGCCTGATAAGCATAACACTCATCCTAACAATCTGAATGCAAGTTGCAGAAGTCAATTGGAAGTAGTGTGGGAGCAACCTCTGGAAGGCAGAAAGCATTTTGCTTGGGGTAATCCATGTTGTAAAAAGGAATTCTAGTTTTGTTTTGGGGTATTCATTTTATGTTGTTATTGGACAAGTAAATAATATGAGCAAAGTTTTATTACAAGCAGTGCTATAATGACACATTCATGAGAGTGAGGCACTCACCTCAAAGCCACATCAAAACTGCCCCCCAAGCCACACCTATTTTCAGGATTATGCAACTTATTATTGTACAATAAGAATGAGCTTTGTCATTTTCTTTGAATTTCTGTTGAGTAATGAATGCAAGATGAAAGTATCTCTTTTTTGAGGTGAAACAATGACAGCTTCTAGAAGTTCTTATGATTGTTTTTTTTAATTACATTCATACCCCTATTTCCAGCAAAAAAGCTCCTAGAGTAGCTTATGTGGAATTAATAAGGCAGTTCCTGCCCAGAGGCTTACTATCTAAAAATATAACATACAAGGGGGAAATGGTCGGGGGTGGGGGGGGGGGGAACAGGGAAAAAGAAAACTCAGGCACTAATTGCCCACACTTGTAGAAACGTGTATATTCTCCCAAGAACAGCAGGCTGAATGGACAATCACTGTTTGGTTTCTTTTAATTTTCTGTGACCTCTGCAACCACTGACATTGTGTGTGCAGACATGTGGGAGAGCAGAGTCCATAGTTTAGGGGTTCCAGTTTCTCCAAATTCCAATAATCTTTTATTGTGCTCTTTTTGGATCCATACTGAATCATGTGTCAAGTAGTCTAACTGAGGTAAGAGGAACGTAAGGCTACCAGAAGCCATGGCTAATTTTCCCCATTGGTTCCAGGGAATATTCCAGTTATGATAGTTTCATCTCACTTTAGTCATTATTTTTCCCAAATAATTCTGGGGCTAAGCATTGCTAGAAAACACCTGTTTGCTTCACAGAGGTATAGTTCCCAGAATGGTTCATCAGTCAGTCTGGGAACTGTACCTTTCTGTGTGGATGTCCACTAATGTCACCCAGTACCCTTGGCAAACTACAGTCCCCAAGATGCTTTGGGGAAGTGATGGCTGTTCAGAATGGAATAAAAGTGTTCTAAATGTGTGGTGTGAATGCAGGGGGGCGGGCAGCAAAGGCAAGCTGAGGAGCAGAGGCTGGCCATGTGGGAAAGTTTCACAGCAGACACAAGTGCATGCCTGGCAGGCCTCTTCAGACAGGTGGCTTTCTTCTCAGGAAAACCACCTCTGTTTGTAACCTAGTAGATTCAGGACTCCAACACATGGCAACTAGTAGCCATGAACCAGCAAAACTCATGGGAGCCAGTGGAGTAGGGACAGTGACACTGGCCTTGGGGATCCAGCAACACCTTTGAGGGCCCCCCAGAATAAGTGGGGGCACTCTGACCCCCCCCCCGGGCCCTCTCCAGTACACCCTTGATTGCAAGTGGAAATAAACCTTGAAAAGAGTACCGAAGCATTACTTTCTATGTTAGAAAGTCTTTTCTAAAATAGATTGGCATTTGTGTCTTTGCTGGCGTTCCCTTTGCTGGCGTTCCAACCATTGTTGATGAATTTACTGTCCTGGCTTTTGTGTAGAAAAAGGCTTCCAGACAGGGCTGTTGGACTTGGTTCTATGTCTTATTAACACTAGCGTCCTAACCTTTAGAAATAGATACTTCCTTTTTCTTTGCAAAGACCTTTATCATATCTCCACCCATCTTCACATGTTGAATGAGGTCCATGCGTTGCATATCAAAGGCATACACTTTAAGAGCTGCAAAAGAAAAGGGAAAAAGGTGGGGGAGGGTTTCCCACTGGAAACAACACTTACATCCCAGATTAGCAGTTCTGCAGCAAAGGTGACATTGACCTGCACAGCTATTGCTGATTTCAAAAGCGTTTCAGTGGGGAAGACTCCCTCCTGGCACACATTAATGTGATCCATGTATGCTCTAAATCCTAGGACTTTGTTATTCATAGTAGGCATACATCTTGTAGTTCCCTTTTGTACCTGTTCATTCTTTCCTTGGCAAAATGCAGCCTCTAATTTGTTTTGCATTAAATGAGGCTCCATATAGAATAATGGAAGCTACTTTCCAAAGAGCTTCCACTTTATTAAAAATACATTTCTGAGAGAGAATACCAATTGCAACCTTTAAAAACACGAGAGGATACTATTTATTTTACAATACATTTGTGGGTGAAGTGAATACAGACAAAAGGCATGGAATACTGTAGCACTGCCCTATAATGATATTATAAAAGCAAAGCAATAAACCAACCCAAGAACTTCACATCCACCCAGGACAAAAGCCACATTGGACAGCACTGACTTCTTAAGTTTCTTCTTTGTAGTACAGTCTTTTAATTATGCATAACAAATTGAAATGTCAATCTGGCATTTTGTTAAATAATTTGACTAATGAGCTGGAATTATTTAGCTATACTGTATTTTGCTTAATAAATGGAACACAAAAAATGATATCTGTGGATCAGTGCTTAGCACGTTTTTCAAAATGTAGGATGTAATTCCTGCTGTTCTGGAATATCTGGTTTATGCAGTTATAAAAACAAATAAGTGATATATTTTTGCACAGCATCAGGTGATGTTTGATTAAAGACATTGCTACAACTTGAATGGTCTAGGATTTAGATAGATTGCTACTCTCTGTGGCACTGAACATTTTGCTTTAACTTCATCTCAGATTCCTCTCTGTAGAATATGTTGGTACTGGCCTATCTCACTGGGTTCATATGATGACATATAAGATGAAGTTGTTGGAGTGTAGTTCCCATCAACCCTAGTTGATGAAAGTGGCATCCCTGTCTTAGAAGGTAATGTAGGCAATGTAGTGCAGAGACCCAGCATGTCTCCAAGCACAGCAAAAGCTTGTCAGATGACATGTGCAGCTGCCTTAACTCCTTGGCACAGTGTGCGCACAAATGGCTCCTACCATGCATCAGGAATGCCACTATGTCTCCTGTTTGGGAATAGACTCCACACATGGGATGTAGCTTCCAGAACTGCATGAAAAAAGGTTGAATTTGATAGAGAAATATGGAGAAAATTGAGCTTTGCAAATTCATTTACAAGATTTCCTCTTGAACTAATGGGGATTGGAACTCGGTTAACTACAGTATTTCATATGTTCAAATACTATATCTCAGTTACTGGCATTTTAAACAGTGAAGACTGTGCATATATAAAACATGTTGTATTCAGTGAATTATATCTAATGCTTATCTAAATTAAGAAGACTCTGGCCAGGGCACTCTGCACCCAGGAGTGGAACTGGTGAGGAGGCTTGGGGACTCATAGGAAAAAGGGCTACTGCATGGTACTTTAAGATCTCCTACTTCTGCAACCAGCTATGCCCCTACCTGGACAGGGGTAGCCTGATTTCAATAATCTGTGCTCTGGTGATCTCTAAATTAGATTACTGCAACACACTCTACGTGGTGCCCTTGAAGATGGTTGAGAAGCTGCAGCTGGTACAGAATGCAGCAGCCAGATTGATAACTGAGACTTGAAGGTCTCAACACATAAGATCAGTTCTGGTTTGCCTGCATTGGCTGCCTGTAGGCTTCGAGTCCCACTCCAAGGAGTTGGGCTTAACCTATAAAGCTTTACATGGCTTGGGACTGCAATAGCTGTAGTCCCAACCTACTGTCCCAATAGGTGTAAACAGCCCAGATAACTTTGGTTATGGGCAGTATAGAAATAATAATAATAATAATAATAATAATAATAATAATAATAATAATAATAATGTAATAGTAATAATGCCCTTTTTAGTTTATGGTCTACTCTCAGTAGGACTCACATTGGATACAACTCTATGGGCAGAATCCAACATGGTGCTTACCCACTTCGTTGCTAATTCTCTTCTACCCTGACAAGGAGTGGGTTCTTTTGATTCCATTGCAGAAGCAGGACCCATCATTCACACAAGGGAGATTTAGTGCTTTCTAGTGGAAACCCTAAAGCCCTGTTTTTGGACAGAGAAACATTGGTGGAGCCCTTCTATGTGCACTCTGCTGACTTGTCTCCTTCCAGAAATGAGAGTTTCCCTTCATTTCAGGTTACCTCAGAAGAACTAAATTGAGACTGCACAACCTGTGTGCATTGCTTTTGCATCAAAATCACTGGGGCTTAAGAAAATCAGCATGACACAGAGAAATAAGTGTACTGTTGGCTTCTGCCCTGTCTGAGAAATCACATGCATGCATGGGCATGCTTTGAGCACAGTCTGGGTCCACTTCAGGGTGCTTGTGTTAACATATAAAGCCCTAAACTTCCTTAGAGTGTCTGAAGGAACATCTCCATCCATATGTGGCTACCCATGCTTTAAGAACTTTTTTGGAGGTACATCTCCAGAAGAAGGCAGCTATTCAGTGAGGAACCTTTTCGGCAGTGGTGCCTGTTTTATGGAACTTGCTCCCCAGAGAAGTACACTTGGCACAGAAGCTGTACATGTTCTGGTGTCAGGCAAAAACATTTCTATTTGCTCAGCATGTTAATGGTTAGATGACATGTCATTAACTTCTGTAGCCTAGTCTTTACTTCTTAGTTTAGTTTATATTTGTTTTTACCGGGATTCTCTATTTAATAACTTGTTTAATTATGTTGCAAATTGTTTTGCTTGCTTTATCTTTTGTTTAATTGGAATGTATTATTGATTGTTACTTTGTTTTAATTTATTGTATTATGTTTGGGATTTTGTTGATTGTAAACTGTTAAGAGAGCCAACATAACTGAGTGAATGGTATATACATTTGTTAAAAATAAGTAAGCACATCTGAAAGTGATACAGCCTGTGAAGAAACCCTTTGAAAGTGTAGGGATCTCACACTCACAAAACTCCAGTAAACAGCCCCATTTACAAGCGCTATTGCAGGACTGGGCTAGGGTCACCAAGAGCTTATGATAAACAGCTCATGATTGCATACAATGTTTATTTATTTATTTAGAAAATTTCTATGCCGCCCCATGTTGTTAATGTTGCTTCACAATGGTATAAGGGATGCAAATTTGTTTTCTCCATTGGTGACCCATAGTAAACCTCAGGCCCATTCGTGTATGTCCAGTCAAATGCAGAGGTGATTGATAATTTGGACAGAGTCAAAAATGGGTGTCTGGCCACTGGTAAGTCCAGACAATTCCTTTTCAACGCATGCATGAAAATATAAGTAAACCATATTCAAAGACAAGACATCATCTATATTATTTTTTTACCACCCTGGGATATCATCTGCATCTATCAGATTTTATGAAGTTGAAAGCAAAAGCAAAAACAAAAACTAGCACTTCTAATGTCAACATTGTGTTCTGGAAGTAAACAAGAGCATCAATTAGTCTGCAATATAATTTGTTTTATTCTGCATACCCAAATCACTAGCATTGATCTCTACTTCTGTCAACTCTTGGAAGTTCTGCGATATACGAGAGACTGTTTGTTCTGCAGTGTCTATCAGTTTAGTGAGACTTCTTCGTCTGTTATCTGACGGGATAGCTTCCCACACTGCAGTTCTGCCTTTCTGAACAAAATTGTTCACAGTATTAACAAGTTCCTGTTAGATTAAAAAGAATTCTGTAAGAGAAATATACTGCAATTTATAAATGGCAAAAAAATTAATACCAAGGCTTGAGTCACTTACATAAAGAGTTTGATTAGAGAGCATTTCATTGTCAAGAACCATATTATTTATGGTGCTTAGCAAGGGACAGGATTCATATAATGCTTCTACGTAGGAAATCACATTGACTGGTGAAATTTCTCCTACTGTGTTCATATTGATTTCTTGTAATATAGCCAGGGGATCTTTTATTTTTCTAATCTGAAAGAAAGTTTAAATCATTATGCATGGCATTTGTAATATTCAAACTCAAGTGAAGATTTATAAATATGAGTCAACAAGATTCTGCTGTAATTTTCCATGAAGGAGTACAGGTAAACCTAGTAGAGTGAATAAATCTTGGATGTGGAGTGAGAAGGCCTGTATTCAAGTCTCAGCTAAGGATTACTGGTAATTTTGGGTAAGTCACTGGCTGGGTTCCAATAACACAATAACCTACACTTGAGGGTTGTTAATGGGTTGTTGTTGAACTGTGGGTGTTTTTTTGAAATTGTGCTAATTTGTTATCTGAACCCAGATAACAGATTTTCTTTTAAAGCTCCATGGTGAGCAATCCACTGTTCAGAACCCGAAAAAAAACCAGGGGTTCGCTTCATTGATTGTTGGGTTGCAAGTGGAGATGCTCATTTCTGGAAGGAAACAGGTCAGTGCAGTTCTTTCACGTGGCGTCTGCCATCAGCCTCTTTCTATAATCTGATGTTTCTACTAGTTTTGGATTGTCCCAAAAGTGCTCAGTTGCTGGTTTTGGCATAGGAACAGAAACATAGATCAAAAAATAATTGTACCAGTGAAGCCCACAAATGCACTGGAAGCTTCTTAAACTTTTTTTTGCAGTAAGGGAATGATTAGAAAGAAGCAGTTATAATACAGTTCAAAGATGTTCTATAGCTTTCCAAAAGGATAGGTCCCAGTTTCATATTCAGAAAACCAACAGTTTTTATAGGATGCAACAGTGTAGAGTCTCAGAGTCTTTGACTACAGTAACCCTGGCAACCATCTTAACCATCCCTCTGAGTTTCTTCTTTGCATGCTGCATGCGGATGCAAAAGTGCCCCCAACTTCTCCAAATATTAGCTCTCTACTTCATCACAGAACTATGAAGCAGGTGCCTATTAAATGTTTTCAAGGCCTGTTGGCCACTTCAAATCCAAGTCATTCCATTCTGGTCAATGACTCTGAAATATTGTAATAAATGTCTTTAATAGGATTGCAGATGACCTACAGCATATAAGGCAGAATGGCATGTGATGCCACTGCAGCAGTAGAGTAGGCGCAGAATCATTATAAATAACATTTCAGGAGAGGGGGGAATGAAACTCATTCATGATTAATCTATACACAGTTTACTTACCTTAGCTAAAGTTCTGTTAATATTTTCAGCAATACATTCATTATTCAGTTCACATTTTGCTGTTGGAATTTCTGTTGAAATTTAAAAGGAATCTGATTAGGATACACTAACATTGTCATTGCACACAGCTAATAACCATTTAGTGCAGCTTTCTCTAAGCTGGCTACTTCTAGGGTTGACCTACCGCAGCCAGCCATGTTGCCTTAGTAGCTGATCCCCAACTTATTAGATGGGTCCACCTTACCCCATTTTCAATTTCAGGAATATCTCCCTACTCCTTTGTAAAACCCTGCATTTTGTTTCTTTTCAATTTAGATTGGATATACATGTGGTGCTCTGAATGTCTGAACACATACCTAGTTTCATGTCTAGTTCTGAATGGTAGACTAAAAATAAGTTGGCCGAAGAGGACAAGGGCCCAAGGGACATGTATGAAACAGAAAGTGCATTCCAGGCCTGCTTTAGAAAATGTTACCCATTGCTGGTAGTGGCAGAAGAAGTGCGGGGAGGGATCTGTGCACCATTGCCTTCAGGAATGGTGAGGGACACTGTCCCATTTCCAGAGCTGCAGAAAGATTCAGTTGCCAGTTCACTCAGCTTTTCAATTGCCAGTTCAGTCAGTTATGGAATGGGAAGGAGCACCTCCTTGCTGGTTGCCTCATGCAGCAGAATAATTTGGGCCAGCTCTGGTGAGCATGAATGTCCCATCTGCTGGGAATTATGCTCCACAGATGAATGGATTTGAACACTGATGACATGAAACAGATTTCTTGGGAACACTGGCCACTGTCCTCATTTCTCAATTTCCCACCAGCAGGCACGCGGTTTAGTTTTGTTTTTAAAAAAAGCGCATTGTCTTTCAGTTTTTAAAGTATATGTGTTAGCTATAACATTTAGTCAGAAATCAGTTTGCTCAATATATGAAAGTCACCTTATTAATTAAAAGACAATCAAGTACCATTTTAAAAAACACAATTATTTTGAATGTATAAATTTACAACAAATTCACAGAGGGAAGCCCATTTTTCAGAAGACACCCTCCTCCTAGTCCTGCTCATGATGGTAGCATGTCTGAGATGGCACTGACACTCAAAGGATGGTAAAGAAGGCTTTAGCAGCTGTAATAGCTTAATAGATTAAAAGGAACACATTTATTATAACATATATTTTAATGATGTGACAGGCATTGATTTGTATTCTGCTTGTGTGTGAAGAGACTTTAATTGGTTGTCTATGTCTTGCACATTTAAAGAAATGTGTCTGTAGATCAGACTAAACATTACACTAAAGGTTTAGCTGACCCATATGAAAATTAAACATGTAGTTGCTTCTCTCCTTTTACTGCAGTGGGTCTTATCCATGTTGCAACATTATGCTTTGCTCTACCCAATCAGCAACAGGCAGTTATGTTGAGTGAAGATCTAAGGAGAGATACAGGAATTGTTATGTCACAGCATGAAATAATTTCTAACAGATGTTACTGAGGCAGAGCTAAATGTGTGGTGAACACATATTTCATCCAGTAGCCAGTACAGACCAAATAACTAGTGGGCAAAAGTATAAAGGCATATCTATGGTGATTTGGTGAAAAATGAGGGTAAAATATATAAGCAAATGACAAGCAAATATGATTTCACTGTTCTAAATAATCAAATGGAAGGGAAAATTTGACTTTTGTCCATGTACAACAGAATTCTGGGATATAAAGGTTTATTGATTATAACAGGCTATGTCCACTTACATCATGTATTTGCCTTCTGAAGTAGTGATTGGCACAGAATAAGAGAAAATAATACCTTTAGGTTATAATACAACACAGTTGCTTCTATTTTTCTTCTCCTTCTTTAAACGATCTATGAATTCAGTCTTTCTACTTTTTCATATCCAGCTGATTAATCTAACAGAAGATTCATGGAAGGCACTGTGGGCCTCTCAGAAGATATGGTAACACACAAACTATAATATCATTTACCTTGGCAGAAAGTGCCATCCCTTGCCTTGAACTGCAATTTTCCTGTGGATGGTCGATAACCTGCCTTACAGGAGCAGTTATAGTCTCCATACACATTTTCACATTTCGCATGGTCTCCACAGGTAGCAGTTACTGGTTCATTGCACTCATCTATATCTGCAAATATTGTGAGAAAATGGGGTAAAAACAGATTTACATGCTAACACCTTTACTCATAGCAGCCCGACATACGGCAGGCAATTTCATGTCAAGATTTCAAGAGTCTGTAGGTGGACATGTTTTAAAGTGTTATAAACTATTCATCGCATGTAATGGAAGCATGCTTAACTGTCATAACACCATGCAGGAAAAATTTCAAGGTAGCAAGAGCAGCTTGTAACTTTCAAAGCAGAGATGGAGATCAGGGTATGGCTCAAGCATGAACCCATCTTGACTGTGTTCAGGCTACCTGCAGTTTTTCTCTGCACTCTGTATAAATGCATTCTGTGTATAGTCAGGTATACTTTTAATCATTATTATTAAAGAAGTGTTCTAGCCTCAAAATGAGACATTCAGCTAAGAGCTCTAGTAGGCCCCTGTTTAAAATCAATCCCTCAAGCTGAGCTTATGCTTTGAGTGTGCAAACACAAAGAATGAAATCTTATTCTTAAAAGTATTTTTAATGTAATGACTCTGTGATGCATTAATTATAATAGCAAAATAAAATTCACATCATACTGAGCTAAATGAGATCATTCCCTAATTGTTGAAAAGACTGAAGAATCTGCGTTTTCTTTAATGTGTCAAACATTGTGAAGTCCAAACCTCATTTAATATCCATAACCGTATAGACAAAATTCTCTAAACTGGTGTTCTCCAGAAATTTGGGGTTTCAACTTCCATGAAATCCACCCAGCTTGGCAAATGTTGAGGAATGCAGGGAGTGCAGTCCAAAACATTTGGAGGGTGCTGGGTCAGAGAGACTGGTATGGACTGCTTCAGAGAGGAGGGTAGTGCTTCAACTTTTTCTTCTCACAAAGGTAAACGCAATGAGAATACATTGTGCTGGCTGTTGTCTCCATCATTCGTTTCCCTTATTTCTTATCTTTCGTCAGCTCCAACACTTTGAATAATTAAGAGGGATGCCTGCAATATTTTTCAACTGGCTTTTAACTGATGTTATTTCTAAGGGGCATTTAATATCTCAGATAAAACTAGTAGAAAGACAGTTATTTTTTTAAGATTGTGGTATAAACTTGAGTAATTCAGCAATGAGTACCATATTATTTACCTTTCCAATAAGTGGTATCAATAAAGGCAACAGAGAAATTACCAATAAATGTTAGAAGCACAAGACTATTTCAGTTTGATATTGAGAGTCCAAGAATGTAAATGAAAGAATGAATGAATCAGGATGGATGATGAATCAGGAATAGACGATGGTTGGAACAAATATATGCCTGTAAGTAGAAGTGCTTATCTGAAAAGGGCTAGATCATTTGTAAATTGAGCAATGCAATAAATTCTAGGAGAAAGATGCCACAGGAGAATAAAAAAGCCAGTAAGCTGAGGCAGCCATATGAAGTGAGTTAGAAACTTAGAACTATGAGGCCATAGACCTAGAATCAAGACCAAGTCAGGCATGTTAGTGAAGGCCCACTTGGGCCTTCTGAGTTGGGCACTCAAGATTTAGAACTGTCCTAATTATTATTATAATTTTCCTTAATAAAAACTTGATTCTTCCTTCTGAACTCAGTAGCCTTGCAGTTACTAGGAGATCTTAGGACTCACTCCTTTAGTAAACTAATAAGGAACATAGCATGAAGACATCAGTCTTTTTAACTGGTGTCTTTTAACAGAGGCTGCCACCTTTTCATCAACAATCTGCTCATGATTTTCATTAACTCCAGAGCCCAAAAAACACCATGCCATCCCTAATCCTGCACAAAAGGCAGGTTGCTTACCTGTAACTGTTGTTCTTTGAGTGGTCATCAGTGCATCACACATATAAGGGTGCTATGCCTGCGCAGTGCCTGTTGCTGGGAAGATTTCATAGCTTCAATGGTTTTTGGTAGGAACTCCGCACCCCCCTTCCCCTGGTATAAATGAGTGGAGTCCCCACCCAATCGCCAGTCAACTTGTGACTGCGTTCGCTGTGCCTCGGGCTCCTTTGCTTGCTTTCAATTCTTGCCTTGTATTGTACCCTTTTGCATTGTATTGGCCCTTAATTGACTTCTTACTTCTACTTTTGCCTCTTTTCCCATAATTTTCCGTTTCTCTACTCCTTTTCACTTCTACTTCCTCTTCTTCCCCACCTTTCTTCACTCAATGCTATCCCCCCCACAAATGATTAAAAAAACCCAAACCCAAACCCTTCTTTCATCTCTCCTCGCCATTCCTATCTCCTACTTCTGCATTCTGCAAGTGTGGGTAAGATGGCGCAGCTGAAGGAGCAGTCCTGTCTGGCTCTGACGTCTAATCAATAATGTCTTGTGAACGTGCATGGGGTTGACCATGTAGCAGCTTTGCATATGTCCTGTACTGAAATGCCTTCACGGAGGATGGAAAAGGCAGCAACGGTTCTTGTAGAGTGTTCGTTTGAAGTGATAGGCAAGTCTAGTTGGGCTAGGTAGTGCCTTGGAGACCACCAGCAGTTCTAGGTAATTGATGTGCTTTGTGGCTTTGTGGCCAGTCCAGATGCTCTGAGTCTAAATAACATGTGTGTGTGCCCCATCCCATCAGGGAAGTGTTGATAAAAAGGGTTACGGTCAGTTCCGGAGATCCGAACAGCACGCTTTGAGTCAGGTTGGTGTCAGTTGTCCACCAAGATAGAGTTCATAGAACTGAGTACAGAAACTGTAACTGTCAGTAGGGTGAGTCTTGCTCTGGGCAGAAGCTGTGGTTGAACCATAGTTGGAGCAGTCACATCCACAGCCTTGCATTTGAAACCACTGAAACCATAGATGCCATATGACTGAGAACCTGTTGGATGGAAAGTACTGTGACAGTCCGTTTTCAGATGAGGGTGTTCACACATTGCATAAGTCTGAGTCCAATCAGGAGGGAGGTATGCCCACGTGAAAGTTGAGTCTAGTTGTACTCCAATGTAATTGATAACCTGGGAAGGAACGAAGCACAACTTCTCAGTATTCATGCAGAGTCTGAGTTGGTTGAGTAAGGAGCAAGTTGTTCTAATAGCAGCCAAAAGGTCCTTCCTGGAGATTGAGACCAGGAAGGACCTTTTGGCTGCTATTAGAACAACTAATCATCCAGGTATGGGTAAACCTACACTCCCTGAAGTTGGATGTGCACACAAACCAGGGCCATATATTTGATGAACACCCTCACTGCGGTAACGAGGCCAAAAGGAAGAACATTGAATTCATTGACCTTGGTACTGACAGTGAATCTTTGGAAGCGCCTATGAGATGAGTGGATGCTTATGTGGAAATAGGCATCTTTGAAGTCCAAGGATGTGAACCAATTGTCTTTCCCAAGCAGCAGAAGAATATTCTGGAATATGGTCATCCTGAATTTGTTTTAATAAATTTGTTAACTCCATGCAAGTCCAGGATGGGACGGATACCCCCATCCCTCTTCGGTACTGTAAAGTACCAGAAGTAGAAACTATGCAGTCCCTCAGAGTGAGCAACTCTTCAGATTGCTCCCTTATGAAGCAGCTCAGTGACTTCTTCCAGAAGAACTGGTGAGGCTGTCGTATAGCAGATTGCCCCGACAGGAGGCACAGTTTCAAACTCAATTTTATATCTGTGGTCTAGGATGGACAGAACCCAACAATCAGATGAGATGGACTCCCAGATGGGGAGATGATGTTGCAGTCTGTCCCCAAAAGGGAGGGGGAGGGGGAGTTCAAGGAAAGAGAGGAGGTTCACACACTCGGTCAGCACTGGTGTTAGTCATTGTGTCGTGAGGGGCAGCCTGGTATGTAAACATTCCACACATTCTAGAGCAATAAAACTAAAGTCCTTTAATGCTAATTGTCTACAAGACTTACAATTCTATAGATAAGTTCCCTAATAGCGGTCCTTGCTAAGCAGATGTCAGCCCCATAATGGCTTCTCTTCCTGAGCCCACGTGGGATCATTCTCCCAAGTC